GATCCTGGGTTAGATCCCATCATTGCTTAAAATGAGGTGATGAAGGTCCATAGGCCTTTAATCCCAGCATCTCCAAAAAGAACTGAACACAGCTTGGTATGGGCACAAAAATAGACCGGTAGACCAATGGAATCAAATTGAAAATCCTGATATTAACCTACACGCCTACGAACACCTGATTCTTGACAAAATAGCTAAAAGTATACAATGGAAGGAGTAAGCATCGTCAACAAATGGTGCTGGCACAACTGGATGATGGTGTGTAGAAGACTGCACACAGACCCATGTCTATTGCCATACATAAAACTCAAGTCCAAATAGATCAAAGACCTCAACATAAATCAAGCCACACTGAACCTCTTAGAAGAGAAAGTGGGAGGTATCCTTAAACAAATTGGTACAGGAGACCACTTCCTGAACATAACTCCTGAGATTGATAATTAATAAATGGGACTTCCTCAAACTTAGAAGCTTCTGTAATGCAAAGGACACAGAAGACAAGACCAAACGGCAGCCCACAGACTTGGAAAAGATCTTCACCAACCTCACATCTGACAGAGGGCTGATCTCCAAAATATACAAAGAACTCAAGAAACTAGTCAACAAAACACCAAATAACCCTATTTAAAAAGTGGGGTCAGAACTGAAGAGAGAACTCTCAATAGAGGAATCCAAAATGGCTAAAAGACACTTAAGAAAGTGCTCAACATCCTTAGCTATCAGGGAAATGCAAATGAAAACAACTTTGAGATACCATCTTACTCCTGTCAGAATGGCTAAAATTAGAAACACCAATGACAACTTATGCTGGAGAGGATGTGGAGACAGGGGAACACTCCTCCACTGCTGGTGGGAGTGCAAACACATACAGCCATTTTGGAGATCAGTATGGCAGTTCCTTAGGAAAATGGGAATCATTTTACCACAAGACCTGGCAATCCCCCTCTTAGGCATATACCCAAATGATCCACATCCATGCAACAAAGACATCTGTTCAACTATGTTCATAGCAGCATTATTTTTAATAGCAAGAACCAGGAAGCAACCTAGATGCCCCTCAATTGAAGAATGGATAAAGAAGATGTGGTACATTTACACAATGGAATACTACTCAGTGGAAAAAATAATGCAATCTTGAAATTTGCAGGCAAATGGATGGAACTTGAAGAAACCATCATGAATGAGGTAGCCCAGTCACAAAAAGAAGAACATGGTATGTACTCACTCATATATGGATTTTAGATATAGAACAAAGGATCACCAACCTATAATTCACATCACCAGAGAAGCTAGGATACAAGGAGGATCCTAAGAGATTCATACAAGGTCCCTCAAAGAAGGGGAAAGGAACAAGATCTCCTGGGCATATTGGGAGTGGGGGGGCAGTGAGTGGAGAGGGAGTTAGGAGAAAGGGAAGGGGAGGAGAAGAGAACATGTGGGACCAGGAGAATTGAGTCAGAGGACGAATAGATGAGAGCAGAAAAAAAAGAAATACCATAATAGAGGGAGCCATTATAGGACTGAAGAGAAAACTGACTCTAGACACATGTCCAGAGACCCACAAAGATGACCCCAACTAACAATCTGAGCAACAGTGGAAAGGCTACCCTAACCTTATATGTCCTTCCCTGATAATGAGATTGATGACTAACTTATCCACCATCATGGAGCCCTCATCTAGTAGCTGATGGAAACAGAAGCAGGCACCCACAGCTAACTGAGCCAAACTCCTGGAATCCAGTTGCAGAGAGGGACCTCTGACAGTGGAGCCAGGATGTATCCCTGGTGCACTAAAGGACTTTGGGAGCACATACCCCATGGAGAGATATTCCTTTAGCCTAGATACATGGGGGAGGGCCTGACCTCCCCCAAATGATGTGACAGACTTTGATGGTCCCTCCTGGAAGGCCTCACCCTCCCTGTGGAGGTTCCTGCCATGAAATCCTATAGACCTGAGTTTAATCCCCCAAACCTAAGAAAAAGTAGAAAAGAGCCAACTTCACAAAGTTGTCCTCTGACTTACACACAAACATGCATACACTAAAAATGTTTTTTTAAAGTGCTGGGAATGTGTCTCCATAATACAGGGTTTACCTGGAATTTATGTGACTAATGTTTGATCTCCATCACCACAAAAAAAAGAAAATATAAAACAAGATGTTAATAAAATGTAATTTTAAATAGCAATCCCATCACTTGGGAGGCAGTGAAAGAATTCAAGGTCAGCCTGGGCCACACAGTGAGAACCTATCTCAAAAGAAAGAAAAAAGAAGGCCAACCAACTGAACAAGAAAGCCAAGTGACAGTATCTTGTGAGTCTTAAATTAACTGACTTCAAAGTTTACAAGAGACAATGCAAAGTAGCTAGGAAAATTTTGGGAAAAATATTAAATAATAAATTAGGGTCTTACACTACTCAAAAAATAGAATGCTACTTTACTTTATGTACAATAATATAATCCAGTCAGAATAAAGAACTAAACATAAGAAATGCAATCATAAAGGTACTAAAAGTATCTTCAAAGTGGGGACTGCATGGATGCTTAGCAGCTAAAAGTATTTGTTGCTCTTACAGAGGACCTGAGTTCAGTTCCCAACACCCACATGGTGGCTTACAACCATCTGTAACTCAAGTTCCAGGGGATCTGTTCCCTTATTCTAATCTCCTCGGGAATTAGTCATGCATGTGGAGCACACACATACATGCAGGTAAAACACTCATACACATAAAGTAAATTAATTAAATGAATAATTAAAGAAAATAAAATTATATAATAAACATTTTTACAACTTTTGAATGAAAAAGAACTTTCGAAGCAATGCTCAGACCTAAATGCCATTAACAAAACATTTACATATTTTATTACCTTAAAAACTCTTGTGGGAGGGAAACAAAAAACAAAATATCATTGCCAGGCAGTGGTTGCATATACCTTTGAGCCTAGTGCTCAGGTGGCAGAGGCAGGAGGATCTCTGTGAGTTTGAGGCCAGCCTGGTCAGGCAGGCTCCAAAGCTACACAGAGAAACCCTGTCTCAGAAAAACAAAACAAAACAAAACAAAACCAAACAACAACAACAAAAACCTCTTATAATCTACTCTATGGATTGGGAAAATGATAAAATTTAGGGTTTTTTTCACTTTTTCTTAAAAATGAAATATCTACCTTGCCATTAAAAACTAAAAACAGATATAGATCAAGGGGCAAAGACTAAATATATGTAATAAAGGGCTAACTAGCATCATATTTAAGGAAATCACACAAATTAGTAATCTAAGAACAACATTACTAAAATAAAACAAAAGATAGTATCAAGGGGCTGAAGAGATGGCTCAATTGTTAAAAGATAGTGTCACATATCAGGCTAAAATTCTAATGAACAACAAATACTTTAAAAAAATGGTAGCAAAAAAGGTTGTATGGGGTCTGGAGAAATTGTTCAATGGTTAAATGCACTTGTTGCTTTTACAAAGGACCTTGGTTGGATTCCCAGCACCCGAAAGGTGACTCACAGCCATTCATAACTCCTGTTCCAGGGGATTTAAAATCTTTTTCCAACTTCTTCAGGCACCAGGCATATACATGGTGCACATACATATATTCAAGTAAAAAAATCATACACATAAAAATGAAAAAATTAAAAACACTAAAAAATAAAGTGATCCGCAGTTTGTCACTCAAAGCATTAATTAAATACCATTCACTTATCAATCAAATTGAGAAGTGCTAATAATATCCAGTAGTTATGAGAAAGGAATACTCACATATTCTGCATAGGATCAGTTCAGATTCTTTACCATGCTAAATCAGGCAGCACCTACTGAAAATTTAAACACAGATACTTGTTAACATAGCAAGAACAACAAAGTCCAGTGGCACTGGGGTGACAGTTCTGGACCTCTTACACAAGAACTCATAACTTTTGTGTCAAGATACTACATTTGGTCTCCCATGTTACTGAATCCCCACACACCACTGGGTGCCCTGCTGGTGTGAAAGGTTATTCCAAGTCTCTGAGATAAACAGTGTCATCTTTATGGGAAGACATAGACTAAAAGTTCAAAAAATAAAAAATAAAAAAAACAAAAGGACACATTCTTCCATAATGGAAACTCACCCAAGTCAGGCTCTGCAGTCAAGTTACAGCCTAGCTTTGTACTAAACAGTCATTCCAGGCCTGTTGGACAGAAAGTTCTAGAAAGGAAACTAGCTCAGAAACATCTTAAAGCCTCAAGATGGCCAGCTTATCTCACCAGCTGAGAAACCTAGTGGAGGCTGGGCTGCTGTATGTGCGGGATAACCATCCAAAATCATTGTAATTCTGGGATTTACTTTTTAATATGATGATAAATTGTGAATATCAAGTTCACAATTATTTTAAACTTCGAGCTTCACTATGTTGTCTATATCTCTAGTCACAACTATCCTGTAATTTCGGAACTTGTTTTTCATCGCCCCCAAAGGTAAACTGTACCTGAATATGGCGGTAATCCAGTTGAGGAATTGATAACACAAAGAAAAACAAAAAGAAATAGAATTAGTCTGAATAGAACTGAAAATGCAAGTGACAAATGTTCAAAATTCTTTTGAAATGGCCACACGGAAGCAGCACATGGCCATGTGGCGAGCGGTACATGTGTAATGAAAAGCATGCACATCTATAGGAAGCGGAAGGATACCTGTGGTGGTGAAGTGATACACGAGCAACAACGGAAGACTACATCTGCAGTGCAATGGAAGACTATATGTGCAACAACAAAAGAGTACATGCATGTGGAGATAAATGAATATATGTATGTATGTATATGTATATACTTGACAGGTTAGACATATAACGGGAATACACATAACTGAGTCACGGACTTGTGGCGGAAGAATGTATGGACCTGAAGAGTGGAGACATAAACGGGTACCATATGTGCGGAGGGATCAGTCCATGCAAGGGCGGAGGACCACGGGTCTTTTTAACTGAATCGTTATGGAACACGACGCTCTGGTAGCATGGCAGAATCTGAGGCGATCTGTGGAATGGCCCACAATGCTGGGCCTGATGAGAAGACTTGCAGGTGTTGTGGGACATGGGCAACCACCTGCAAATCTGTTCCATCAGGGCCACAAGTACCTCGACCACTAGGTAAGGCTGCCTGGGAGGTCCTTACCATACAGTTCTTTGGTCCTTATTGAAGTTGTGAGGTGAATGGAACTTGCTGTTATCTTCCATTTTCTGCTTTCTAGGACCACCTACCACTTCTACATGCCCATGAGGCCTTCCTCGGCGTTGGTGGCAAGGGCACTCTCTGCACTGCTTTTTTTACCAAAATATTGGAAGTCCACAGACCTCCTTAGTAAGGAAAAATCTAGAACCCAGTCAAGTGGTATTTATCAGGCCACTTCTAATTTGGAATTTTAGCAGGGAATAGAATTTTGAATGTACATTGCAATGGAATTGGTGGTGGTCATGGATGAGTGCTCCCTTACTCAGGACATTAGGGTGAAAAAGAAATCACTCTCAGTAGAGAGCACACCAGAAGGATAGTGCCCCAGGAAATGGCGCAGGGAAAAAAAAAAAAAAAGGAAAAGAAATCTGAGAGGTAGCACACATGAGGTATGCTTTCAAAAAAAAAAAAAAAAAGTATTTGATGAGTTGTAAAAATTTGGTTAGTAGATTTGCTAATATTTGTTGTTTGTTGAAGGTGATTTTGCACTGATATTGATGAATGATAGGGATCTATAGTTTTTTGTTGTGTGGCCCAGGCTAGCCCTGAAGTGGGTACAAGGGATTTGCCTGCCTCCCCAATATTTGGAATTAAGGCCTGTAATGCTACTTGTCAACAGTTCTCTCTTCTTTTCTCTCTCTCTTCCTCTCTCTCTCTCTCTCTCTCTCTCTCTCTCTCTCATTTGTTTGGGGGTTTGGTCTTTTGGTTTGGGGGATACATGTCTCTCTACATAGCCCTGGATGTCCTGGAACTTGAAGTGGAACTCAAAAAGATTCACCTACCATTGCCTCCTGAGTGCGACCATACACCCAGCTTGTTCACAGTTTTTCAATGACTAAACTACTAGTTGTATTTCCATTCAGACTTCCTAATACTGTCTAGGTCCTGTTAGGTTTTTCTGTTTATATAATTTGTTCAATTATTTTTAGGATACTATTGTACAAATTTTCATTTCTTTAGTAGGTGACAAGAATAGCCTCATTTTCATTTTCTGGGTTATTTCAGTCTTTCAAAATTGCCTATCTAAAGTTTTGTTAATCTTTTGAAAGAACCAACTTTGGGTCCTGTGGGTTGTACCTCAGTGCAAAACACTTCCCAGTCACTGTGGAACCCTGTCTCAGGTAAAGCAAAGCAAGAGATGGATTGAATGTATAGGACTGGAAGGACAGAGAGTAAGGTTGAAAACATATGTGGCTGATATAGCAATAAATTTATGGGGTCGTGAAATATTACTACAATGGATATTCAGTTTAACATTCCTCCAGTATTAGATATGATCGTGCAAAAAATATTAGAAAGTATTATACAACGTAGACACCAAATATCCAGGCTGTACAAAAACAGGATACAAGTGCCAAACAAACAGAGGAACCAAAAACCCTACCCTTAAAATGGCTAACAGATGAACCTGTCTGGGCAGGGCAATGACCTATGACCTCTGAGAAGATAGATGCTTTAGAAAACCTTGTTCAGGAACAGCTAAATGCTGGACATATTGAGGAATCAACCAGCCCTTGGAATTCTCCTGTATTTGTGATCAAAAAGGAATCTGGTAAATGGAGAATGCTTACAGACCTGAGAGCCATCAATAAAGTTATCCAGCCAATGGGCTCTCTACAGCCTGGAATGCCCTTGCCTTCTTTGATACCCAAAGAATGGCCTATTATAGTTATTGATTTAAAAGATTGCTTCTTCACTATACCTTTACAAGAACAAGATAAAGAGAAATTTGCCTTCACGGTACCTAATTACAATAATTCTCAACCGGTGAAGAGATATCAATGGAAGGTTTTGCCACAGGGAATGCTAAATAGCTCCACCCTGTGCCAATATTTTGTGCAAAAACCGTTGGAAATAATTCATAAGCAGTTTCCTCAATCCATAATGTACCATTACATGGATGATATATTGTTAGCTGATTCTAAAGTAGAAATATTAGAAAAAATGTTTGAGAACATAGAGGAAGTTTTACCTTTCTGGGGGAATTACAAATTGTACCCAAAAATACAAAAAGGAGATCCTATAAACTACTTAGGACATACAATAGGTCTACAGAAAATTAGACCACAAAAAGTTTAGTTTTGTAGATTTTTCTGCCACTTTTGCTACAGTTTTGTTTTTGCTCAGTTTTGGTTTTTTTCTTTGTTTTTGTTTTTGAGATAGTTTCGTTCCATTGGTCTATCTGTCTGTTTTGTGCCAATACCAAGCTGTTTTCACTTCTATAGCTCTGTAACAGAGTTTGAAGTCAGAGATGATGATGCACCTAGATGATCCCTTATTGTACAGGATTGTTTTGGCTATCCTGGGTCTTTTGTTTTTCCATATAAAATATTGAGTATGTTCCTTTCAAAGTCAGTGAAGAATTGTGCTGAGGTTTTGATGGGGATTGCATTGAATCTGTAGATTACTTTTGGCATGATTGCCATTTTTACTATGTTTATCCTACCTATCCAAGAGCATGGGAGATCTTTCCATTTTCTGGTATCTTCTTTAATTTCTTTCTTTAAACACTTGAAGTTCTTGTTATACAGGTCTTTCCCTTGTTTGGTAAGCATTACCCCAAGATCCTTTATGTTATTTGTGGCTATTGTAAAGGGTGATGTTTCTCTGATTTCTTTCTCAGCCCATTTATCATGTATATAGGAGGGCTACTGACTTTTTTTTATTTAATCTTGTATCCTGAAACTTTGTTGAAGGTGTTTATCAGCTGTAGGAGTTCCCTGGTAAAATTTTCAGAGTTTCTCTGTGTAGCTTTGTCCTGGAACTTTCTCTGTAGACCAGGCTGGTCTTGAACTCACAGAGATCCACCTGCCTCTGCTCTCCGAGTGCTGGGATTAAAGGTTTGAGCCACCACTGCCTGGCTGCTGCGCTGTTTTCTTATTTCTGCTGTGATATGTATTATTTTTCCTTCTCTTAAAAGCTTTTGGTTTAGTTATTTTGTAATTCCTTAAGTAGGAAAGCTAGGTTGTTAATTAGAAATTGTTAAAAAAAAAAAAGACCATTAGCTTTACATTTTTCATTTCTTTTTTTTTAAGATTTATTTTTTTATTATGTATACAGTGTTCTTCTATATGCCAGAAGAGGGCACCAGATCACATAATAGATGGTTGTGAGCCATAGATGGTTGCTGGGAATTGAACTCTGAACCTTTGGAAGAACAGCCAGTGCTCTTAACCTCTGAGCCATCTCTCCACCCCTACATTTTTCTTCACACTGCTTTTGCTGCATAATTTTTGGATTTTTGCTTTTATTTTCATGCATCTGTTTCTAATTTTCCTTGCAATATTTTCTTTTGGTTTGTATAAGAGTTCATTATTTTATTTCCACAACTCTATTGAATATTTTCTGTTTTTTCTGCTGGTTTATAATTTCACGTCCTTGTACCCACACAAAGTGCTTTGCATGTTTTTTTCCATCCTGCCCTAGGGTTCTGAGTGCAACTCAGTAGTAGACTATTTTCATAGCATGTGCAAGGCGTGAGTTCCATCCCCAGCACTGCAAACATAATTTCCTCCCAAACCTGAACTATGACATTAAGAGGACAATGTAGTTAGTTGCATTTTAAGACATAAGATTTTGGCTGGGCAGCTAAACACTGAGCAGAACTCCTGGAATCCAGTTGCAGAAAGGGAGGAGTGATAAGAAAAGGAGTCAAGACCAGGCTAGAGAAACCCACAGAGACAGCTGACCTGAACAAGGAGGAGCTCATGGACCCCCAGACTGATAGCTGGGAATTCCGCATTGGACTGACTCAGACCCCCTGAACATGGGTCTCAGTTAGAAGGCCTGGGCAGTCTAAGGGACCTCTGACAGTGGAACCAGGATGTATCCCTGGTGCACAAAAGGACTTGGGGAGCCCATACCCCATGGAGGGATACTCCTTTAGCCTAGAGGCAGAAGGGAGAGCCAGATCCTACTCCAAATGACCCTCCTTGTGGAGTGGGGAGGGTGGGATGGGAGGGGGTGTCGTGGGCCATGAGAGGGAGGGAGAGGGAACTGGGGTGGATATGTAAAATAAGAAGATATTATATATGTATGTATGTGTGTATGTATGTACATACATACATATATTTGGCTGAGTGGCGGTGGTGGCACACACCTGTAATCTCAGCACTCCGGAGGCAAAAGTAGGAAGACCAGCCTGCTCTACAGAGTGAGTTCTAGGACAGCCAGGTATAACAGGGAAACCCTGTCTCATTGGGGGTGGGGGGTGGGGAGTCACAAAATTTTTTTTTGTTTTATGGTTCTTAAATACAGCCACGTTGTCATCTTAATGTTATCCCAGGTCTACCACCACCACCACCACCCCTGCTGAGGTTACAATTACAGAGTATCACACCAGGTTTTTTCAGATTTATTTATTATGCTTAGTGTTCTGCCTGCATGTATCCCTGCAGGCCAGAAGAAGGCACCAGATCTCATTACATACAGTGGTGAGCATTCATGCGGTTGCTGGGAATTGAACTCAGGACCTCTACAAGACCAGCTAGTATTCTTTTTGTTGTAAAAAATTTTTCTCCAGGGGCTGGAGAGATGGCTCAGTTGCTAACAGCACTGACTGCTCTTCCAGAGGATCTGAGTTCAATTCCCAGTAACCACATGGTGGTGCACAACCATCTGTAATGAGATCTGGTGCCCTCTTCCGGCCTCTGGCCTGCAGGCATTCATGTAGACATAACACTGTGTAAATAATAAATAAATAAATCTTTAAAAAAAAATTCTCCAACTCCCAGTTGTTTTTTTTGTTGTTGTTGTTGTTTTTAATGAAGCAAATATGTTTATTTATGACTTTTAACTTTATCAAATACAGATAAATGGATTTAAAAGGCAAATTTTGGGGCTGGAGAGATGGCTCAGCGGTTAAGAGCATTGACTGTTCTTCCAGAGGACCTGAGTTCGATTCCCAGCACCCATATGGCAGCTCAAAGCTCAAGTTCCAATGTACATGAAATAAAATAAATAAGTTAAAAAATAAAAAATAAATAAAAAGGCAAATATTAGCAGAGCATAGTGGTGCACACTTTTAATCCCAGCCCTCAGGAGGCAGAGACAGGTGGATCTCTGAGTTCAAGGCCATCCTGGTCTAGAGTGAATTCTAGGGCAGTCGTTTAAAAAGAAATGCTTACTACAGGCCTGTTTTGTCTATCATATCTTTTTTCTTCTTTTGGCGGATTTGGGTGTTTTCTGTTGTTGTTGTTGTTGTTGTTGTCTTTTTCTTGTTTTGGTTTTTAGTGACAGTGTTTCTTAGAGTAGCCCTAACTGTTCTGGAACTCATTCTGTAGAGAAGGCTGGCCGTGAATTCACTAAGATCTGCCTGCCTTTGCCTCCCAAGTGCTGGAATTAAAGCTGTGTGCTACCACAGCCAAATTTGTCTATCTTACCTTAAAGTAGGTAGATCATTAGATAGTACAGAAGGTTCTCCAGATATGTTGTTTGGCTGTTTGGTTTGGGTCTGGTTTTATGTGTCATTTTGTTTTTAAGCATGGTTTCTGGTGATTGAACTAAGGTCCTTGTTTTTACAAGGCAAACACTTTACTGATGGAAGTAGCTCTCACAGACCTGCTTTGTTTCTTTAATTTTTACATTCCAATCCCAGTTCTCCCTCCTCCCTTTCTCCTGCCTCCTCACCTCCCCCCTTCCCACCCCATCCACTCTTCAGAGGGGGTAAGGCCTTCCCTGAGGAGTCAACAAAGTCTGGCATAACAAGTTGAGATAGGACCAAGGCCCTTCCGACCGAATCAGGCTGAGCAAGGTATTCCACCATAGGTAATGGGCTCCAAAAAGCCAGTTCATGTACTCAGGATAAATCCTGGTTTCACTGTCAAGGGTGAACTCTATTTCTTACAACAGCTTTTTTTGGCTGGGGTGAGATGATATTTCATCATAGTTGCTTGCTTGCTTGTTTCATTTTGTGATGATGAGGCTAGAACTTGGTCACACACAAGCTAGGCAACACTCTACTACTAAGCCGGTTTCCAGCCTTAGCCTCTTGAATCCTAGGATTACAGGCATCAGACACCATTTCTGGCCTTTATGTAGTTTGTATTTACATTTTCTTGGTAACTGATGATGCATGTTTTTCCCAGACAGGGTTTCCCTGTGTAGCCCTGGCTGTCCTGGAACTCACTCTATAGACCAGGCTGGCCTCAAACTCACAGAGATTCACCTGCTCTGCCTCTGCCAGTGAAAATATTTTTTGATATACTTGTTGGCTATTCACACATCTTTCTCTGAACAATCTATTTAAATTATTTGCCCACTTTAATTTGTTGTAAAATTTTTTAGTTCCTTATCTTTTGAATATTTATGCTCTGTCAAATGAATAGCTGGGAAGTATTTTCAGGGAGTAGGTTTTGTCCCCTGTTCTGTTTTCTCTCCCCTATAAAAAATTCATTTTAGGGGCTGGAGGGGTGGCTCAGAGGTTAAGAGCACTGGCTGCTCTTCCAGAGATCCTGAGTTCAATTCTCACCACCCACATGGTGGCTCACAGCCATCTAACTATAATCCCATAGGATCCAATACCCTCTTCTGCTGTGCAAATGTACATGCAGACAAAACATCCATATACACAAAGTACATAAATAAATAAATCTTAAGAAAAAGAAATTCATTTTAGGTGGTAGAATGGAATCAATAACATAGATGATTCTGATAGAGTGAAACATGTGGAAGTTCTGCAGATGATAGCATATGAGTAAAATAATGCTCAAGTCAGTAACAAATTAAACTAAGCCCAAATTCATGATGCTCCTCTGATAGAACAATGTGTCACTGTATAAAGAGAAAAAGAGATTGAGAGATTGCTGTCCTCTCAAGTGGCCTTTAGTGTCTCAAGCTTAGGAGGCTATTGCCTACCATCTCTGATCCTTAGCTGAATTCAGTCAGGCTAGGGGAAATAATTGCTGCTTCTACTTCAAAGACACAGTGTAGTGCTGCTATACATACACAGAACCATTTGCCTATGAGAAATGACTTGTATTGTATCTGCCTTTCAGCCACTATGCAGCAGTGCTGCTGAGATCAGGTCGGTTCTACACAATGAAATATAAGCAGGTGGACCTAAAGAACCCAAACAATGACTGATTCATCCTTTCAAAGGTTTGATGACAGGGGAATACTGCTGTCTGTTCTTTTTTTTTTTTTTTTTCTTGCAGGGGATGGGATTTGTTATTTTATGTTATGTTTTGAGACAAGGGCTTGCTTAGCCTAACCTAGCCTCCAATTCACCATGTAGCCCAGGATCACCATGAACTCCTTATTTTCCTACCTCCAACTTCTGAGTTCTGGAATTATACGTGTGTACCTGCTTGATGCTTGCTTCTTAATTTATACTTTAAAGGTACCATATGGCAATAGGTGCATTTTAAAACGGGCCATTTGTTTTAGTGAGGCCCACTTGGAGCCATATGACATGTATGGAAGGAAGCATGGAATGTGACAACTGGCCATCTTTGGTACTCTACCACACTCCACCTAGTACTAAAGTGTCCATTGGTAGATCGTATTTTCCCATGCTCTGTGCTGCTTTGAGAGGCAGGTGACTTCAGTGAATCTGCCTTGCTGAACCTGCAGAAAACTGAGGATGACTTGAAAGAAGCATCAACCAAAACTGAAGAACTTTTAGTTTCACCAGTTTTTTTTTTTTTTTTTTTTTTTTTTGTTGTTTTGTTTTGTTTTGTTTTCCAGCTAAGCAAGCCTGGGAAGGTAGCCAAGAGAACTTTGTATGAACAACTTCTTGAAACATACTTGGTGCTGGAACAAAGATAAGTAAGCACTGCCTTGACATGAATTATTCTTCTTGAGGGTGTACATACCTTTATTATAGTTGCCACCACTGAATTGTACCCTTCAAGGCATAATAGTTGATAAAAAGAAAGCCCTATCCTGGGTAAAATGACATATACATGTAATCTATATACTTGAGCAGCTGAGCATGAGAATTACCAAGTTTGAGGCCAGCCTAAGCTACATAGTTCCACGCCAGACCTGGCTACAAAAATAGCCTGTCTAAGAGAAATGTGGACTAAGAAACCTTTTCTGGACCCTATGCTATGTCAGGCTTTTTACTGTTAATGTCATAAAGTGCAGTTCAATTTTAAAAGTCACCTATTCTTTAAAACTTCTAACACAAGTTCAGTGTTCTTTAAAAGATCAAAGTCTTTCTCTTTTGCTTTCTTTTTCTCTCCTACTTTTGGTTGGCCACCAGCTACCCCCCTCTTCTTCTCGTCCACCTGCCCCCCTCTCCTCTTCTGTTTCCAGTGTCTCTGTATCTCTTCCTTTCTCCCTCACTCTCCTTTCTAAATAAACTCCTCATTTGAGCTCAAAAAAAGATCAAAGTCTCTTTTATATATTTTTATTATTTTATTTTTTCATATTTTTTCTTATTTTACATATCGATTCCAGTTCCCTCTTTCCCTCCCTCCCTCCCATGCTGCCCAACCACCCTCCCATCCCATCCCCCATTCCACAGGGAGGGTGGTACCTTCCAGTTGGGGTCATCTAAATCTGTCAAGTCATTTGGAGTAGGGATTAGGCCTTCTCTCCTGTCTCTAGGCTAAGGGAGTATCCCTCCATGGGGAATGTGCTCACAAAGTCCTTTAGTGCACCAGGGATACATCCTGGTTCCACTGTCTGAGGTCCCTTAGACTGCCCAGGCCTTCTCACTGAGACCCATGTTCAGGGGGTCTGAGTCAGTGCCATGCTGGTTTCCTAGCTGTCAGTCTGGGGGTCCATTAGCTCCTCCTTGTTCAGGTCAGCTGTCTCTGTGGGTTTCTGCAGCCTGGTCTTGACCCCTTTGCTCATCACTCCTCCCTCTCTGCAACTGGATTCCAGTTCAGCTTAGTGTTTAGCTGTGGGTGTCTGCTTCTGTTTCCATCAGTTACTAAATGAGGACTCTAGGATGGCATATAAGTTAGTTATCAATCTCACTATCAGGGGCATTTATGGAAGTCTTTCCAGTGTTGCTTAAATTGTTAGTTGGGGTCATCCTTGTAGGTCTCCGGATATTTCTCTACAGTCTGTTTTCTCTTCAAACCTATAATGGCTCCTTAACTGGGATTCTATAAAACAAAAAATAAGTTATAGACTTTCTTCCACCAAAAGGGAGAACCGGGTCATAGAAACAGTCAAAGCAAAACCCAAAATCCAGCAACATAAATCAAATCCTGTAGCTCAATGTCCATTATCTCACAGTCATTCATAATCTCCTGGGCTCCAAAAGGCTTGGATATGTCCACCTTCCCAATTCTGACATCTGCAGCACATACAGCTGCCCTTCTAGACTCAGGTTCACACCACTTTCACATGTGCTACTGTTCTTCATGGATAGTGACAATGAATAAATTTAGTGTTTGTAAGTTCAGGAGCACAGTGTCACCACCAAAGCAGCAACATTTTGGAATGGCTTTTCATCCTGTCGTGGAGGATATTCTCTCCATCAAATACTAGTAACCTGCTGTATACAGACTAATGAAGATTAGGCAAGGGGAAGTAGAGTTACAGAAAGTTAATCACAATATTGGCACTTTTGTGTTTATAGTTCTTTGGGAAGCCACACCCTCCAAAAGATTTTATATCTGAATTGTACACAGCTGGACCAAAGATTATGAAAAATGCTTTAGTTTCTATTTTGAATTTTGGTTCCTTCCTCTGTGTTCTAAAAGTTCCAGTTCCCATCACCATGCTGTAGATTCTGTGGCAATGGGTATCTTCTTTATCTTTGTCAAAAAGTTTCCAGTTTAGGGTAGGTATCAGGCTTGACTCACAATCATCTTATGGCATTGATGTGAAACTTTGTAGACAGATACAGCAAAAAATGATTTCATCCAGTGGGATAGTAGGGGTAATTCCAGTGGGTCAGCAGGAGTAGCCTGTATTCAGTATTAGAAATCTGCATAAAGCCCATGTTCTGCAGCTGGGTCTCTTTTCTCTTACAGGGACTACCATTTGTAAATGTGGCAATGGGATGGTCTGGGCAAGGACTAGGGCTGTCTTTGGGATGGCATATACTGGCAAGTATTTTGACCAAGCCATGTAAAGCACTTACCAAAATTCATTTCACTACTCCAACACTGCATTTCACCTCATTAGTTTGAGAAGACAATGGTGGTTTTGAAAGTTTTGGTTGCAAAGTATTGAAGCAATAAGCAAATTACATTTGTACAACTATTCTAGCATCCCTGGTTGAATCTAACTAGTGACTAAAGTATTAGAACACTAATATTCTCTGAGACAGTTTTGTGTTTTCTGTCCTGCAGAGTTTTGATGTGGAATGAACATGTACTTGTCATTAGGAGCCCCCAAATATTAGTAGCATATGTCCTTTACTGGGTTGGTTCACAGTCTCTTTTTTGGTCTCAGTCTGCTGCTTGTGGTAAGCAGTGCTGCAAGTGAAATGCTTGGTTTAGCCTCTGCTGCATTTGGTGAACCTGAATCTAGAGCTCCTGTGGTGCATTTTTCCAGGGGGTGATGCTATCTTTCATAGGATCTCAGGAGATTGCTACCTTGCTCCTTGGAGGCCTTGTTACAACTCAGAGAATCCCTTTGGAAGGATACAGTTGTGCTTCTGCCACTCCTCTAGCAGCTTTCTTGTTCCACTTCACACAGTTTACTCACATGCTTCTCACTGCCATAAAAGTTCGTCCATGAGTGCCTCTCAATGATAACCTTGAGTTTAATAACTTTTCTTAATGGTTAGAGAGATAGGTGGCTTAGCAGTTAAGAGGACTGGCCACTCTTCCAAAAGATCCACATGGGATTCTCAGCACCTACATGGCAGTTCATAACTGTCTGTAAGTCCAGTTCCAGGGGACCTGACATTTTCTTAGACATACACACAGGCAAAACATTCATACACATAAAATAAATAAAACATTTTTTATAGAAACAACTTTTTAAAACTCACAGTACTTTCATGAGGTCTAGGGTGCATTTTATTGGTATAAATGGCTCATGTCTCTGCTGCACAGGAGTGCAGCATGCTTTTCATGGTAGAACATAGCTCCCTAGGTAATATGTTTCCATTACTATGATGATTTGTAAATAAATTTTAGTATATGTGCTGCCAAAACAAGCACTTGTCAATAAATTTTAAGGTCAAAAATAAAAGGTGCCAATGCTTTAAAAATGAAGCTTCCTGGGGAGAGGAGGTGTTTACATCTTTCAGGGGCCTGCTTTCTCATTCTTACTTGCTGACAAAACAAGAGAGGAAGCAGAAGCAACTAAAATAGTCGTAGAGCTGTAATGAGACTGCTAGTCAAAGGTAAAATCTGTCTCATAAGGCTCAAAATTCATTTTCTCAATTGCTGAGCTTGGAAAGAATTGATGAGGAAAATAGTCTTAAGGACCTTCTGGAGTCTGGAGCAGTTCCCATTGTCTCAATATCTCTCTCTCATTCTGTCTCTCTGTGTCTCACTCTGGCTGTGTGTCTTTCTCTCTCTGTCTCACCTCTCCCTTGTTGTTTTGTTTTTGTTTTTCAAGACAGGGTTTCTCTGTATAGGTTTGGAACCTGTCCTGACACATGCTCTATAGACCAGGCTGGCCTCAAACTCACAGGGATCCACCTCCCTCTGGCTTTTTTGTTTGTTTGTTTATTTTTTTTAATCTCCCTGAAATTGATTTGCTTGGGTGGCTCAAGTGAGCCCCAGCACAGGTCCTTACTGTTTCTTGCCACCGGGTGTTTTGTCTTCTGGTGATAGGGAGTCCATAGACGGTTCTGTCTGGGAGACATTGCCCTTTGCATTCTACTACAGTCTGGACAATATCGTAGCAATATTTGATGTGAACCACATTGGACACCATGGCTCCATGTCATTTGAGCAATGCATTGCTTTCTACCAGAAGCGTTGTGAAGCCTTTGGGTAAATGTTCCTTTGTTGCTGTGCCTTCTTTCTGTCCCTTCCTCCTTCTTCATTGTAATCTAACCTCCTTGATGACAGGTGAAATACTTATGTGGTGGGTGGCCATGATGTGAAGACCCTATACCATGTGTTCTCACAGGCATCTCAAGTGAGAGGCAAGCCCACTGCTGTGATTGTTAAGACCTTCAAGACCCAAGACATGCCTAGTAAGTGTTTCCTTCCTGTGAGTATTCAAAACATTTGTCCACGGAGCAGAGCAGACAGAAAAAGGCACTGACTAGGCTGATGATTACCTTAGTTAACAGTGTTAATGCTGGTAACATAAGAGGCTACTTCTCTCTCTTAACCTCAATAGTTAATATGTCTGGTTAAGATAAGAGGGGAAGGCCAAACTTCTACCAAGTAAACAATGGTTTTTTGTGGTTGTAAGAGAATGGCTAGTGGAACACTTCACCAGTGGGAACAGGAAAAGATCTATATAGTTAGCATGCAATATGTAGGGGCAAGCCAGATGAGGCACATTACTGTAAAGTACCCATTCAGTCATTGAGCAATACTTGTCTGCAGGCCTGAGACTTGCAATATACCAAATCTGAATAAGTACAACACACATATTCCAGAATTGTTTTCTGTACTCTATATGGTCACAAGATAATTGGAATGAGCAGCATGAGTACAGAGAAGGGAGGATTGTGAACATCTGAACACACATTTAGGTGGAAGAAGAACAATGATTCTTTGTGCAATGGGAACCTTTGAGGAATATGATGCAGGAAATTATGCTAACGAAAACTTCATTCTAGTATCAGTAACCTGTCAGGGATTGCTGGAAACAGGAAAATCTGAGATAGGATTGAAGAACCAGCAAGAAGGTGAAAAACCAAACGTGGCTCTGACAGAGTAAATAAAAGAATAAATGTTGCTGACTAATAGAAGAATCTGGAGTTATATAAAAAGCAAAATAGCAAGTATCCAGGAGTTTCTTAGTTGACAGATGGCTGGGTATCCTGCTCACAAATTACAGAAACGTCATTGGGAAAGATGAGTCAGCTTGTTGGACAAGTCATCTAGATAGTTGTGGCAGCTTACATATGCTACTAGAATACTGCTCAGGAACCATATAAGTGACTCCCTGAAAGAACTATACTGTAGAAAACAGCTCTGGCTAGAGTTGGGTGGGAAGATGTCTAAGTGAATCTGAAGCAAGGCACATATGGTAGTCCAGGGAGCACTGAAGGCCATTGAGGCATTACAGCACTTCAGTATGGGCAGGGATAGCAGCCTAAGAAAGTACCTCAAAAATCTTTAACCAAAACTGGGTTCACTGAATTTGCAAATTAGGACAGCTACAGAGACAAGTGGATCTAATATAGAGAGGATCTGGGCTTCTGAGGTTAGACAGTTGTCCTATGATGGGAGATGTCATTCTGTATATATGTTTCTCATACTGGTTAATGAATAAAGCACTGTTGGCCAATAGGCAAGATAGGAGGGACTAGGAGACAAGGAGGAAGAGGAAGTAGTAAGGAGGAGTCAACATGGAGAGTCTGGAGAAGGCAGAACCGCCAGCTGCCTCTTGCTGGTAAGACCACGTGGAAATACATAGAAATGGGCTAATAATTAAGACAGAGCTAGCCGATAAGAAACTAGTAACTGGCCAACAGAATTATATCATATACAGAGTCTCGGTGTATTAATTGGGGCTGGCGCAGCGGCGGGACAAGACCGGTGGAGGGAGGAAAAACGTTACTCCTTACAGTCCTAGAAAACATAGGGTACACAAGACATTCCTTTTCCCAAGAAGAAATAGGCTCCCTCTCTGTATGTACATTATGATTTCTCTACACTGATCCTACATACCCAAGGGCATTCTTATTCATAGCAGCATCCTAAGGTACCCCAAAAGTATGTTGTCTGGTAATTGAAAGACCTTCCAAAATTTATAAGACACTACAATCTGGAAAAAGAAAACAGATTTCTTGAGGATGAGAAGTAGAATAGAGCCAGAAAAATAAAGCCTTGAGATGCTCTTAAGGAGAAGAGAACACAGGATCAGAGACTAGGTAGAGCTAACTCTGAAAAGTGACATTTAGGGAAGAAAAAACATTGGATTAATTTGGAGAGTACTACTACTAACTTCTGTGTGACCAGAAAACTGATTACTAATCTGAAAGATTATTTGTGTGGGTGACCGTTATGTGGCTTGATCTGTTGAGAGGGACTAGCAGTGGCACAGGACCTACGTTAGGGTCATGAACTGGCTTTTTGGAGCCCATTCCCTATGGTGGGATACCTTGCTCACCCTTGATACAGCAGGGATGGGTTTGATCCTGCCTCAACTTGGTATCCCAGACTTTGTTGACTCCCCAAAGAAGGACTCACCCCCTCTGAGGAGTGGATGGGGGATGGGAAGGGAGGAGGTAGGGGGTGAAAGAAGGGGAAGAAGTGGGAACGAGGATTGGTATGTAAGATAAAAAATTAAATAAAAAAAAGAAAAAGAAAAGGTCATTTACTAGACTAACCTACAATATTTTAGTGAGCTTTCAAGGAAGATGGTTATGTAAAAGCATTGAACCATACAGGGCTTTGCTGTAATACAGGATGCTCTGGAGCAGTAAGAGTAGCTTCTTTTCAAGAATGATGGAAGGAGTTAAGGATGGGTTCCTGCTAGGGTTGAGTTCGTGGTTTTGTTGATCTGTGGCTTTCTCAGGTGATGACAACCCCTACCACATGGCCCTGGAAGACCTGGACATGTTCAGAGCAATTCCCAACTGCACTGTTTTCTATCCAAGTGAGGCCATCTCCACAGAGCATGCTGTTTATTTGGCAGCCAATACTAAAGTATGCTTAAAGGATGCCAAATCAGAAAATGCTCTGGACTCTACTACAAGTTTTGAAATGATGGGAATTTTGTTTGTTTTCCTAGCATAAAATATAAAATTTAGAGCTAGATGCTGAGATTGTCTGCATGAGGCTCTGGGTTTGATCCCCTGCACCATATAAACTGGTCATGCTGATACAAACCTAAAATCTTAGCATTCAGGAAATGGAGCCAGGAAGGTCACATTTTCAAGGTCATCTTCAAGTATATTGATAGTTTTAAGCCAGCCTAGGATGCATGAGACCCTACAACAGGTAACTGTGCACATGAGTGCATTGGGATTGCAAAACACAAAAAGCATAGTATAGGGCTAAAGAGATGGCTCAGTGGATAAAGACCTTGCTGCACAAGTGTGAGTGCCAGAATTCAGATCTCTAGAAAAATTGGACAGGGAGCCAGGTGTGTTGATGCACACCTTTAATCCTAGCACCTGAACTTGAAAATGTGCATTCAAGTTGACAATAAAGTTATATTTACACCTTCTCATTAGAAATGGCTGAGTCACTTCATATTCACATTTACTTAAAGTCTTTCTAAGAATGACTCATTACAAACTATATTGTAGTGAAATTACTTTTTAATGTGCTTTGGGCTTTCTTGTCAACATGAGTTAGCACCCCTGCCCTGAGTTTTTGTTCCATGAGGACAGGAAAAGTCAGTGAATATTTTAGAAATCTTCCCAAATCAAAAAAAATGGGACAATGTGGAAAATTTATCACTGAGGATATCACTAGGGTGATACTTGAGATATTCCTATCTCAGTAGCAAACTCAGATGTGTTAACCTATTCACTGGGTAGTTGAGCTTCTCCCTCACTCCGGAGTATGCATTTGGCTGTTAGTATGAAGAAGTGTTCAATCCTCTTTCGTACTGTTTGACTTATTACTTGGAAATTTATGGTTTGATTTACTTTTTTTTTAATTTTTGAGATAATAACATTAGTTCCTTCCCATTCCTCCCTCCAAATACTCTCATATACCCCTCCTTGCTCTCTTTCAAGTTCATGGCCACTTTTTTCATTAATTGTTGTTGTTGTTATTGGTGGTGGTGGTATGTGTGTGTACCATATATGTTCCTAAATATAACCTGCTCAGTCTGTGTAATATTGTACATTTATCTTTTCAAGACTGGTCATTTGGTATTGGATAACCAATTGGTGTGCCCCTTCCTAAGGAAGACTATTTCTCCCACTTTCCGCATTCCTTGGTTACCCGTAGTTCTTTTGTAGGATTGAGTCCTCATGGGCATTAGCACCCCCATCCATGTTAACTCACCTATAGTTGTCCTTGTTCAGTTCAAGTTTTGACAATCATGTTAGTAAGAGTTTATGGGTGTAGCCTGTGACATTCCTAGAAGACACAGTCGAATGACCCACTCCCTGTTCCTCTGGCTCTTACAATCTTTAAAACCCCCTCTTCCTCAATGTTCCCTGAACCTTACATTTGGAAGTATTTTGTAGATGTATCCATTAGGACTAGGCTCCACAGCCCTCTATGTTGATTGGTTGTGATTTTCTGTAATGATCTCCAACTGTTGCAATTTGATTTTCTTAACTGTAATTCTGGTTTGCACTTATGCCACAGGAAATGGGTTTCATACGTACCAGCCAAACAGAAACTGCAGTTATTTACACTACACAAGAAACATTTCAGATTATACAGGTCTAGGTAAGGGTATAAGTTTTCCTGTATTGTCTAGTACCCATTACATAAAGAGAACCACTCTAACCCTTGCATGTGTTTTGGTTGCTTTTCCTTTACTAAATCTGTTATGATCTTTGCCTGATGGATCTGTACTTTTTCTGAAAATGGAATCTAGAAATTGAATCTAGATCCTTATGGATGCTAAGCAAACATTCTATCTCCGGGTACATTACCAAATCTTTTTTGCAGTTGTATTTATCAATTGTGTGTTTGTGTTTGGCAGGTGCACCACTGCATGCAGTTTTAGAGGTCGATGGACAACCCTAAGGTGTGGTTGATTCTCTTCCTCCCACTATGTGTGCCCAATGAATAAAACTCAGGTCATCGGGCTTGGTGGTCAGCATCTTTATCAGCCAAGCTATCTAGCCTATACATTTGTCAGCCCTGTCTTAAAGTTTTCTTTTGAGTAAGTTCTGACCAAATTGCCCATGTTGTCCTTAAGCTTGAAATCTTTCTGCCTCTGGTTCCTAAATTACTGGGAATGTAGATGTGTACCACTCTGCCTGGCTTATAGGTGAATTAATTAATACATTTCTTAGTGTTAGGTCAGGAGCAATTAGTCTTTGAGATGTATTTTTCCACAGTAACCGCATTTTGTTTTGTTGGTGCTATACAAGGTTGTCTGCCACAGTGACAATGACAAGGTCACAATTATTGGAGAATGAGTAACTCTGTATGAAGCCCTAGTGGCTGTTGATGAGCTCTCTAAAGAAGGTCAGTTGATTGTGTAAACACTGCAGTTACAAGCTGGGAAGAGGCAGAGTATCAACTATGGTTGATACCTGGTCTGATCTTTTCATTTTAACCTCTGAATAGCCCTTACTCTGAGTCTCTCTCTCTCTCTCTCTCTCTCTCTCTCTCTGTGTGTGTGTGTGTGTGTGTGTGTGTGTGTAAAATTTTTCTTATTTTACATATTGATCCCAGTTCCCTCTCCCTCGGTCCCATGCCCCCCCAGGTCCCCCTGTGGAGTCAAGGCGAAGTGTGAATGGGATGGGAGGGTGTTGCGGGACATGGGAGGGAGGAGAGGGAACTGGGATCGATATGTACAAGAAGAAAAAATAATAAAGAAAATCAAATAAATAAATAAAACTAGCCAATACATAGGGATACATAGACATGTCTCAAAGCCAGCTGGATACTTGCTAACAAAAGAGCAAATGGCAAAAAGTAAGAGGATTTCAGGGAGTTAAGGCTTGGGTTATGTTTAGGCCTAGAAAACAGGTAGGAGGTACAACATTCTGTTTTATGAAACAAGACCCTAAGACCACATCTCACTGGGTATTTCTCTGGAAGGGCTCCCAGATCCAGCATGAAACTGTGGGGATCTCTGGTAGAGATGGTAGAAATACCTACCCCATGAAGGCAACAAAGACCATATCTGTCTAAAGGTGCACATTTAGAGACTGAACACCCTACAATTCCATTGAGAGCTGCTTGTGTTGTCATCTTCTCCCAGACATTTGTACTAAAATTCATCTGACTCCTGGCAGAAAATTGGGCATTTGTCATAGTCTGCATCATTTGTACACATATTCTAGGCACAAGGATTACCCTACTGTAGTGAGGTATTCACTTTGTCTACCCCTGTCACCATTGGAGAATGGGCGTGGTCACTACACCCTATGAAGAGGGAGAGGTAATAGCAGTGAAGGATGCTTCTAACAGCCAAGCCTAGCTTCTCTTCTACATGGTTCATTGTGTTTAGTAGTTTTCAGATTCCTGGTAGCTTTAAGAGTCTTACTACCACAACTTCCTCCCCTCCCCCACCACCAGATTACTGGAGACCAGGTTGAATCAGCCCCCTGCTGTGTGTAGCAGGTGGGGGTGATTTAGGAGATGTGGAATTAGGAATGAGAACCTTTTAAGTCAGTTGGAGTATAATGATTTGAATGAATAAATGACTAATGAAAGTACTTGACCTTAAAACCAGCAGATTTAAAAGTATAACATAGGACTTTTAAAGCTTACTAGCCATTTGCAGAAGAGATGTTAATATCCCTTTTATGACATTGGGGAAGCTGTCTGTGCAGTGGTCTCCAACTAACATCATAGTTCATCAGTTGCCTCAGAGTGGGAGATCCAGTGAAGCACTAGAATTTTCTGGAATCAGTGCCAGACACATCTGTAAAATGCATCTGTGTATTTATACTTGTACCAAAACCATCACTTAGAAATGATTGTGCTTTGTTCTCCTTAAAGGCAAAAAAACAGCTAATACTTTTATTCCTCATTCAGAAATTCTAATTTCCCTTTAATATGTGACTACATATATGAATATCAGTTGTTTTAACCATCAAAATGGGTTATATTTAAAATGGCAGAATAGCTAACAATACAACCACCTGATATTGAAGTTTCTCATAAGACTGCATATAAGTTAATGTAAAAGTGAATTTAAAAGTATTTCTCTCATACCAGACATTGGTTGCACACGCCTTTAATCTCAGCACTCAGGAGGCAGAGGCAGGTGGGTCTCTGTGAGTTTGAGGCCAGCCTGGTCTACAGAGCTAGTTCCAGGACATCCTCCAAAGCTACACAGAGAAACCCTGTCCCGAAAAACCAAAAAAAAAAAAAAAAATTCTCTCATAGGTAAAGCATATGTGTGTTGACTTATAGTCCTTAGCCCAGCTTTCACAACACTAGACCCCTGAAATGCATAGTGCAGTTCAACTTTAGCTACCATGTATGCTGCCTTCCTACCTGCAGCTTCCTGAGTAATGTGTAACTTCAGATGCTCTTGAATTTTCTCTGCTGTTTCCCTTCATGTCCTCTCCACAGTTCATAGGCTGGTGAACACAACAAAAGCAGTTAGAATGTTGGGATGTCTTAGGACACTGTTTTGTGCCTTCTATTCAATTTGATTCTCCCTTACAATAGTCCTTTATTATTTTTTTTCTTACTTTACATATAGATCCCAGTTCCCTCTCCCTCCCTCCCTCCCATGCCCCCCGACACCCCCTCCTTTCCCATTCTCAACCCACTCCACAGGGAATGTGATGCCTTCCAGGACGGATCATCTAAATCTGTCAAGTCATTTGGAGTAGGGTCCTCCCTCTAAGTTAAGGGAGTATCCCTCCATGGGGAATGTGCTCCCAAAGTCCTTTCGTGCACCAGGGATACATCCTGGTTCCAATTAGACAGCCCAGACCTTCTAACTGAGACCCATGTTCAGGGGGTCTGAGTCAGTCCCACGCTGGATTCCCAGCTATCAGTCTGGGGGTCCATTAGCTCCCCCTTGTTCAGGTCAGCTGTCTCTGTGGGTTTCTGTACCTTGGTCTTGACCCCATTTTCTTATCACTCCTCCCTCTCAGAAACTGTATTCCAGGAGTTTGGCTCAGTGTTTGGAGAGACTTCTGTCTCTCCAAAGGTGTAATGGTGTGCAAACAAGCCACTTACTGTAAATATATCCTTGAAAATCTGCCCTAGTGAAATCCTTCCATTAGCTGGAATGTAAGAAAGGTGTCAACCAACTAAAAATGGGACTGAGTTTTAAAAGCATACTGGATGTGACAAATATGTCACATTTCTTATTACTTTCATTAAGTGGACATCAGGAATTTGGGGACGCATGACATTGCTTCTGGAGCTGTACAACATTGTGTAGTAGAGATTTAATCTGGACTTCGTGCCATTAGAACCTGCTCATTCTACTCTTCCCTAGTCCGATTGGGTTTCCTGGCCTGAAAAAGGGAAATCTTCATAAAGACTGCAAAATTGGTCTGTTCTACAATGAGTTCCAGAACAGCCAAGACTATACAGAGAAACTCTGTCTTGGAAAAAAAAAGACTGCAAAATTGGACTACAGAGATGGCTGAGTACTTGCTTCTAGGTTTGGTTCCTAGAACCCATATCAGCTGGTTCACAACTGACTGAAACCCAAGGCTCCAGGAATCTGACCCCTTCTGGCCTCTGGGCACTCACACACATGTGGCATACATTCACAGACACACCATACATACATTTATATTTTAAATCTTTAAATGAGGGTATGGTGACACATGCCTTTAAGCCCAGCACTTAGGAGGCAAAGCCAGGAAGTGTTTGAGTTTGAGGCCAGCTTAGTCTACATAGTGAAGTGCAGACCAGCCAAGGCTGAATAGTAAGACCCAACCTTTAAAAAAAATACTTTTAGGGTCTGGAGAGATGGCTCAGAGGTTAAGAGCACTAGCTGCTCTTCCAGAGGTCTTGAATTCAATTCCCAGCAACCACATGGTGACTCACAATCATCTGTAATAACATCTGGTTGCTTCTTCAGGCGTGCAGCCATACATGCAGGCAGAACACTATACATAATAAATAAATAAATAAATAAATAAATCTTTTAAATATACTTTTAAATTATTTTGTGATAATCACAATAGAGTTGGAAAACAACTTTTTATCTGGGTATGGTGACACTTATAATCCTAGCACTTAAAAAGAGAAGGCTGGAGGATTAGGATTAGAAGTTCAAGGTCATCCTCAGAATAATAGCAACTTGGAGACCAACCTATACTACGCAACACCTGTCTCAAAACATTTTTAACTTATTTTTCTATTTAAGCGTAATTACTTTCTCATCATATAATTTTCTCCTTTAAAGCATACAGTTCAGAGGATTTTTATGTAGTCAGAGTTAAATTTAAAACACTGATATTCTCCAAATTCCATACCCAGTGTCCCCTCTCAACTCTTAGTAATCACTGATTTGCTTTCGTCTGAAGTATACTTTTAGGGGATATTTTGTGGAAATAGAATTGGAACATATGAGCTTTTGTATCTGGCTTTCTAAAACTATAATTTTCTTTGGTGGTGGTCTTCTGGTGCCTGCCATCTACCTTTCTGATGTCAAACTCACCAATTAAGCTAGGTTGGCTAGCCAGTGAGCCCCTGAGATCTACCTGTGTCTGCTTTCTCAGTCCTGGGATTATCAAGGTGAATCACCTTGTCTGGCTTATTTTACAAGAATGCTGAGGATCAAACTCAAGTCCTTGTTCCCATAAGGCAAGTGCTACCTACTGAGACATCTCCCCAATCTTGAGCGTAATGCTTTTGTGGTTCATCTATGTAGCCTATGTTCATATTATTCTTTTTTTTTTTTTATAGTGAAAGAGCTATCTCTTGTAATCAAGGCTGACCTTGAACTTGGTCTGTAACAGGGTAGCTTTGAACACTTGATTCTCCTGCTTCTCTCTCCCAAGTGGTCATGACATTTTTTTATAGTCACACAGTATTCTTGTTTATAAACCCTATTTTATTTAACCTTTGAGTGAACATTTGGTTTGTTTACTTTTTTTTTTTTTTTTTTTTTTTTTTTTTTTTGCTATTGCGAATAGTGACATTCTAAGCCACATATAAAGATTTGTGTGTAAAGTATTTTCACTTAGTGTATATAACTGCCTGGAATTGCTGGGTTATATGATAAACTACTATTTGCTTCTTTGTGTATAGAATGAGTGTGTACTTAAATAAAGTTTATGAAAGAGTAAATGAAATGGGAAGATAATCAGCAATCTGTAAAGCAAGTAAGCAAGTACAGAAGCCCTAAATACAGGAAAGCCACAATATGAGTGGCTATGCATTCATCTGGAAGTGCTACTTTCAGTATGTCTACAATTCACAATGGACATTTACACTGGTAGTACAAATGTGCCAAATGGAAATATAATTCAAAACGGCAAGATACAAGGCCCAAAGCCTCAATTCTAGCTTCTAGATGATGCTGGACAGAAAAGGACAGATAAAAGCCAGAAGTGGTCGCTCACTCCTTTACTCCTAGTACTCTGAAAGCAGAGGCAAGCAAGCTTCAGGCCAGACAGGGTGACATAGTGAGACCCTGTGTCAAAATTAAAAAGGGGGGGGAAGGACAGATGTGGTAATAAGAACTCAAGAGCCATGGTCATAGAGAAGAAAATGAGTACTGGGTAGCCAAGGTATAATATAAAAGTGATAGGAGTGGTACACTAAGCATTTGAGGCTGAAAGTTTCTTAATTCACCAGCCTGGCAGTTTGTAGGCTCATTAATACCCCTGAAGGATGTCATGGACCTTTGCAATTGGAATCAGTCCCTGAATCTTCTACTTCCGTCCCATGAAGAAAGACCTGTTGGAGTTTGAAGCCAGTTGTCTGGTTTTAAATCTAGACCTGTTAGTGGGAGATGATTGCCCAAGTAACCTTTATGTCTTGATTTTTTTCATCCATAAAGGGGATAATAGAACTACCAATAGTGTATGTTTTGGGCTGTGGCCAAATTTTTACAAAACTAAAATCTCTATTTAGGGCCTCCCTGCCCATCTAGTGGGTTCCTACTTCCCCTCAGCTCCATCCATATTACACCTCCTCAGCTGATCCTCACACTTGCCACCCTCCAGAAATTGACAGTATTGAGGTAGCGTCAACTGTTTGTTTTTTCTCTCCTTTGCTAGTCCCCCCTCCTCTACAGCCCTGTATGTACACCTGCCCCTTCATTCTCCAGTTCGTTTCTGGGATGCCCTCTATCCATTTGACTCTACCTGGCGCTGGTATGTTGGGTCTGCCCGCGCCTGCCTGCAGTGCCCTCCAAGCCACATGAACACTGGCGTCATTGGGTTTTGTACCGTCACTCACTTAGCTACAGCCAATCACCGCCCGAGGGTCTGAAAACGCGCTACTGTAACAGCGGGGGTTAGCATCATGACCTCACAGTTGTGTGCTCTCAGCTGCACTAGCATCATTCCTAACAGCTGAGTGGCCACGGACAGGGAAGGCAGGACCAAGCATAAGGGGTGCGGACAGCTATGGAGTGCAGCTGGGTTTGACAGTGAAGTGGTTGCGATGGTAGGCATGTGCTACCATGAAGAGCAGTGAGTTCCTTTCAACACTCAGACCTCCAAAGTCATTAAGATCTTGGGGCAGAACTCTCCTACATCGCACATGCACCACAGAAAAGGAAACTAGGTGTGGCCTGTCTTACCGTGGGAAAACATGGGACTTTTCTTTCTACTGATACTGTAGCCATCTTTTTTGTGTCAGTGAGAAAACTTGTGGCTTTAGAATTTAGGAACCCAGAAATGATAACAAATGTGATTCCCAATCTAGTTAAGGAAGACAAGCAACTAGCCAAAGAAATACTCAGAGCCAGAACCCAGGTAGAGTATTAGGGTGGTAGTAATTCCAGCAATCTGAAGGCTGAGACCAGACAATTATGAGATTA